CCCACGCCCCTCCCCTCTAGAACCCTCAGTTTGTTTTTCAGAGTCCATCATCTCTCATGGTTCGTCTCCCCCTCTGATTTCCCCCCCTTCATTCTTCCCCTCCTTTTTTTTTTTCTTAACATATATTGCATTATTTGTTTCAGAGGTACAGATCTGTGATTCAACAGTCTTGCACAATTCACAGCACTCACCATAGCACATACCCTCCCAGTGTCTATCACCCAGCCACCCCATCCCTCCCACCCCACCCCCCACTCCAGCAAACCTCAGTTTGTTTCCTGAGATTAAGAATTCCTCATATCAGTGAGGTCATATGATACATGTCTTTCTCTGATTGACTTATTTCACTCAGCATAACACCCTCCAGTTCCATCCACATCGTTGCAAATGGCAAGATCTCATTCCTTTTGATGGCTGCATAATATTCCATTGTATATATATACCACATCTTCTTTATCCATTCATCTGTTGATGGACATCTTGGCTCTTTCCACAGTTTGGCTATTGTGGACATTGCTGCTATAAACATCGGGGTGCGCATACCCTTCGGATCCCTACATTTGTATCTTTGGGGTAAATACCCAGTAGTGCAATTGCTGGGTCATGCAGGAGCTCTATTTTCAACTTTTTGAGGAATCTCCATACTGTTTTCCAGAGTGGTTGCACCAGCTTGCATTCCCACCAACAGTGTAGGAGGGTTCCCTTTTCTCCGCATCCCCGCCAACATCTGTCATTTCCTGACTTGTTAATTTTAGCCGTTCTGACTGGTGTGAGGTGGCATCTCATTGAGGTTTTGATTTGGATTTCCCTGATGCCGAGCGATGTTGAGCACTTTTTCGTGTGTCTGTTGGCCATTTGGATGTCTTTGGAAAAATGTCTGTTCATGTCTTCTGCCCATTTCTTGATTGGATTATTTGTTCTTTGGGTGTTGAGTTTGATAAGTTCTTTATAGATTTTGGATACTAGCCCTTTATCTGATAAGTCATTTGCAAATATCTTCTCCCATTCTGTCGGTTGTCTTTTGGTTTTGTTGACTGTTTCTTTTGCTGTGCAAAAGTTTTTATCTTGATGAAGTCCCAATAGTTCATTTTTGCCCTTGCTTCCCTTGCCTTTGGCGGTGTTTCTAGGAAGAAATTGCTGCGGCTGAGGTCAAAGAGGTTGCCACCTGTGTTCTCCTTTAGGATTTTTTTTTTAAGATTTTATTTATTTGACAGAGGCAGAGATAGCGAGAGCAGGAACACAAGCAGGGGGAGTGGGAGAGGGAGAAGCAGGCTTCCCGCAGAGCAAGGAGCCCGATGTGGGGCTCCATCCCAGGATCCTGGGATCATGACCTGAGCCGAAGGCAGACGCTTAACAACTGAATCACCCAGGCGCCCCTCCTTTAGGATTTTGATGGACTCCTGTCTGACATTTAGGTCTTTCAACCATTTGGAGTCTATTTTTGTGTGTGGTGTAAGGAAATGGTCGTTTCATTCTTCTGCATGTGGCTGTCCAATTTTCCCAACACCATTTGTTGAGGAGACTGTCTTTTTTCCATTGGACATTCTTTCCTGCTTTGTCGAAGATTAGTTGACCATAGAGTTGAGGGTCCATTTCTGGGCTCTCTGTTCTGTTCCATTGATCTATGTGTCTGTTTTTGTGCCAGTACCAGACTGTCTTGATGATGACAGCTTTGTAATAGAGCTGGAAGTCCGGAATTATGATGCCGCTAGCTTTTCTTTTCTTTTTCAACATTCCTCTGGCTATTCAGGGTCTTTTCTGGTTCCATACAAATTTTAGGATTATTTGTTCCATTTCTTTGAAAAAAAAGTGGATGGTATTTTGATGGGGATTGCATTGAATGTGTAGATTGTTCTAGGTAGTATTGACATCTTCACAATATTTTTTCTTCCAATCCATGAGCATGGAACATTTTTCCATTTTTTTGTGTCTTCCTCAATTTCTTTCATGAGTATTTTATAGTTTTCTGAGTACAGATCCTTTGCCTCTGGGTTAGATTTATTCCTAGGTATCTTATGGTTTTGGGTGCAATTGTAAATGGGATCGACTCCTTAATTTCTCTTTCTTCTGTCTTGTTGGTTTATATAAATGCCACTGATTTCTATGCATTGATTTTATATCCTGCCACTTTACTGAATTCCTGTATGAGTTCTAGCAGTTGTGGGGTGGAGTCTTTTGGGTTTTCCACATAAAGTATCATATCATCTGCAAAGAGTGAGAGTTTGACTTCTTCTTTGCTGATTTGGATGCCTTTTCTTTCTTTTTGTTGTCTGATTGCTGTGGTAGGACTTCTAGTACTATGTTGAATAGCAGTGGTGATAGTGGACATCCCTGCCGTGTTCCTGACCTTAGAGGAAAAGCTCTCAGTTTTTCCCCATTGAGAATGATATTCGCTGTAGGTTTTTCATAGATGGCTTTTATGATATTGAGGTATGTACCCTCTATCCCTATACTCTGAAGAGTTTTGATCAAGAAAGGATGCTGTACTTTGTCAAATGCTTTTTCTGCATCTATTGAGAGGATCATATGGTTCTTGTTCTTTCTTTTGTTAATGTATTGTATCACTTTGATTGATTTGCAGATATTGAACCAACCTTGCAGCCCAGGGATAAATCCCACTTGGTCGTGGTGAATAATCCTTTTAATGTACTGTTGGATCCTATTGGCCGTATTTTGGTGAGAATTTTTGCATCCATGTTCATCAAAGATATTGGTCTGTAATTCTCCTTTTTGATGGGGTCTTTGGTTTTGGGATGAAGGTAATGGTGGCCTCATAAAACGAGTTTGGAAGTTTTCCTTCCATTTCTATTTTTTGGAACAGTTTCAGAAGAATAGGTATTAATTCTTCTTTAAATGTTTGGTAGAATTCCCCTGGGAAGCCATCTGGCCCTCCAAGACACAGACTCTTAACTGTAGAGAACAAACTGATGGTTGCTGGAGGGGAAGTGGGTGGGGGGGTGGGTTGGATGGGTGATAGGGATTGGGGAGTGCACTTGTGATGGGCACTAGGTATTGTATGGAAGCATTGAACCACCGGGTTGTATGCCTGAAACTAATATTACACTCTACGTTGACTAGCTGGAATTTAAATAAAAACCTTTAAAAAAAATACATGAGGCTTATTTACATGCATGTATTTCCTTGCATTGTGAGCTGAGCACTTTGAGATCCCACACTGAAGTTTTGAATACCATTTTCTAATAAAAGGGGCCAGGGCTCTTTAAAGAAATAGTTGTTACTATTGATGAAATTTTCAAGTTTTGAGTTCCCGAGTGAACAGCTGAGAAAGAATTCTTGAGACTTTTTTGGTGCAAAAAAGGTGTTTTTTATTATAGCATGGAAGGACCTGTGGGCAGAAAGAGCTGTGCCTGCAAGTGTGAGGGATGGCTGGTTACATATTTTAAGTTTTGTGGAGGGAGGGGAGGTAGAGATAACATAGGTTTCTAAGGGATTTTTGCCTGCTGAAAGCAGGGTCTTAGAGCACCTTGAAGATTTAGCTATTGTCAAGATAAAGTTACTTTTAGTCTTTAATGAAATATAAACATGAAGGATTAAGGCATCCCTGAACGCCTTGAGGAACATCACCCTCTGCATGTCTCAGGCATGTCAATGGGCTGCAAGCTGTAGGGAGATTTAATTTAAATGACATTTTTCTTGCTTTTGCTTTCATCACTCATGACTGCAACAGTAAATACAGCAGTCAGGATAATCCTGAAGTATCAGAAAGTAACAGAGCACCAATAATGAAAAATCTACAAAAATGGGATATGTCAAAGGCAAACAGGAGCCAATGGAAACAGCTCTCAATAATCACAACAGAAATCAGCTGATCAACCAAACGCTGTAGTCCTGGAGTATAACCAAGGGACTAAAATAACTACCCACTTGTCCACACTGGTAAAAACAAATGATTACATACATTTTTTTAATGATTACACGTCTGCTGAAGATTTCCAAATAATTTAGGTAGACACTCAGCCATCTACGACAGAGGTAAACTAGCCCCCTCTCCTCAAGTGTGGGCTCCGCAGAGTGATTTCCTCCTACATTGGACACACAGTAAGGACATGGTACAAGAGAAACTTCAGTGGGGAAACCTAACAAGCCCTACCCCAGCCAGTGACCAGCATTAACACTAACTGTAATAAGTTGCCTTGAGAGCAGAGGAAATGGGTGATTTCCTAGTAAAAATACACATGAACAAAAGACCCAAAAATAAAGAAAATGGAAATTGACCAATTAGCATAGAAAAGTTTGCAGTGCTGCTTAAAATCTCCCATTGGAAAATAACTCAGGGAGACAGTTAACCGAGCTTTAACAAATTCTGATTTTAATATCAAAGCTTTGTATATATTTCCATTTTTCATCTAATGTAGGATACGTCAACGTTTACAACCAAACATCATGTTATGTACCACTATAAATATGCTGCCACGTAAACCGAACTTCTCAACACAAGAAAACCATGACCGATGAGCTTACTTCCCTTAAAGCCAGAAAATTTTTAATAAATTTTGTTTTGGGCACTCATAAATTTAAACTCACATATATTCATACATGTTTTCAAGTTGTCAGTATATTTTTTCAACTGTGCTAACACTGAAACAACAAAAGCCCTTCACAACACTCACGAGGGCAAGACGACCAGGACGGCTGGCTGTGCAGCTGCGACGGCCGCGGTGTTTCTCCTTTCTCTGCGGGAGCCTCTGCCCAGAAACGACGCTCTTCTAGGACAAGCACCACAGTGTGCCATGACAGCGAGCTGCCAAAGCTTTGATGCTACATTGTGCTGAACTACTACATGACAAAGTACAGATAAACCACTGAGGAGTCAGAAGCAGATTATGCTCACTGTGGAAAACAAAACGTCTCTGGGAAAGCCACAGCAAATCTCCCTCCTGTGCACTTTTGTTGTTGAATTTTAAGAGTTCTTTATATATTCTGCAAACTGAACCCATATCACATGTATCATTTGCAAATATTTTCTCCCATTCTGTAGGTTATCTTTTTAGGTTTTTTTTTTTTTTTTTTTTTTTGATGTAGTGTATCTTTTTAGTTTCTTGATAGTGTCCTTTGATATTCATAACTTTATAATTTTGATGAAGTCCTATTTTTTTTTCTGTTATTACCTGTGCTTTTGATAATCATACCCAAGAAATTGGGCGCCTGGGTGGCTCAGTTGGTTGGGCAACTGCCTTCGGCTCAGGTCATGATCCTGGAGTCCCGGGATCGAGTCCCGCATCGGGCTCCCTGCTCAGCAGGGAGTCTGCTTCTCCCTCTCCCGCTCCCCCCTCTTGTGCTCTCTCTCTCAAATAAATAAATAAATAAAATCTTTAAAAAAAAAAAAACATACCCAAGAAATGATTGCCTCTGGCTCAGCACCCAGACAGGCCTCCATTTCATCCTACCTTCAAAACGTCAGCACCTCCAAGCCCAGAACCGTTTCATCCCAGCCCTCACTCTGTGGGCGATCCCAGTACCACCCAAACCCCAGCAGCCAGTGGCCAGACGGGATGTGGTCTTCTGCCGGAGGCACCCAAGGGGTACACCAGAGACACCACAGTGCCTTCTTGGGCCAGTTGGGAGGTGATCATTGGCAGAGGCAGGGACACCATTATGGGTTGAACTATGTTCTACAAATTTCTGATGTCGAACTCCTATCCCCAATACCCCTGAATGAGAACTGATATGGAAATACGGTCTTCAGAGATGATCAAGTCAAGATGAAGTCACTCAGATCATGATTATGTTGGTAGATTTTGTTGGTATTAACAAGAAGAACCGGGCAGAGATACACACACAGGAAAAGTGCTGTGTGAAGACTGGAGCTCTGCAGTCCCAAACCAAGGAAGTACCGGAACCTGGAGAAAGCTCCCCTTGAGCCTTCAATGCCACGACATCACCCACATCACACTTCCAGCCTCTAGACCTGTGACACAGCAGATCTGTTATTCTAGGCCACGTAGCTTGACCGAAGAGATCAACACAGGCACCCTCTGCCCTCTCCAGCAGTCTCCACACCACAGAGGGTGGGGGTGAAGGCAGGGCCCTTCACAGACCAAAGCTGGGTGATCACTTCTGGCCCTGGTTGTCTGGGAGGTCTGGCCACACATCCCAACCTCCTGGGGCCCACGCAACTATGAAGACAAGGAGAGGCAGAGAAGTTGGCCTCCCTGGAGCTGATCACTGAACATCCCCCCTGCCACTACTAGGGCCCAGAAAGCCTCTGACACCTCCTCCAGGCCGCCGTCAGCCATCAGCCATTTGAAACAGCCCCCATATCCCTTTTCATCTCAGGAAGGGAAGGGCCTCCGCAAGGCACAGGAAGAGGCCCTTGGCCTGGTCACAGCACCTACGTCCACTGGACCCAGGCTGGCCCCTCAAGGGGGTAAGGGCAGAACACTCTCTAGGGCCAACACATCTCTCTCAGAGCGGCCTGGGATCAAACAGCAGAGAGGGAAGTGTGGGCCTCAGGGTGGGAGCTGGGTGCACAGGCGCTGGGCATGCGGGACGGGGAGAGGCCTCCAGCCACTCAGGACGTCTGACCACTGCACAGGAGCCCCTCCAGAGGAGCTCGAGTCTCAGTCAACAGTCAGCTCCAGAGACTTCAGTCCACGTGCCACAAAACGGACACGATCCAGCTGGCTGAGTCTGTGCTCTGGAACTTTTAGGATCGAGCCCAGTGTCTGTAAAGGGTGGGGGAAGGAGACTCCCCAGGAGGTGCTCCCACAGCCCGTCCAGGAGGTTCTTGCCTCAGACCGTGACCACCTCACATATAGGTACTTCCTTTCGGCTCAGGAAAGGCCAAGACTGGGATGGGTCCAGAGCTCTGCACATTTCCAGGGAAGGCCAAAGGGCCGCACCGCCCATCACACCCTAGGGTTAATCCCTAACCCTCTCTAAAGTGTTTATCAACTGTGCAGGTATTTTATGCAGACTTTGAATGACTGAGGGCAGGATGAATTGGATCACTGTGCTTCCTTCGGTGACAGGTAATGCACGATGAGTTACGTACCTCAATGATTAAAACAAATCACCACGTAGCTGAGTGGCACGTAAGGTTGAAGAGTGAATCTTCATGGGTGTACACTTTGTACATGAAGGAAGCTGGTGCCGTGGCGATGCCAGAACTAGGTTAATAATGTGTTCATGAATTATGAAAATGTAAGCACATTAGAGAAATTCATGAGTCAATGGAAAGCTTGATGAGAAACAGCATGTTTACACAGTTTCAAAGCACTACCTCCCAAAATATACAAAAAGAGTAACTGTAGTGGAGAAGGTTGGCAGAAAACACCCTAATGAAGTGATCAAGATGAGCACCAACAACAACTGCACAATCAAAATCATGTGCTATCTGTAAGACAGGGTAAGTGCCTCATGTCACTTCTGGGGTATTTCCCGAATTGCATGGAAACATCCCACACGGCCACTCTGGGGGACATTCTACAGAATAACTGGCTTGTACTCTTCCAAAGTGTCAAAGTCGTTAAAGTCCAGGAGAAGATCGGGCCTGTTGTGGCCTAAATGACAAGACAGTCAAGGGCACGCAGCACATGCTATGTGACGGGATTCATCTGTCATTCAGGGTGTTGCCGGGACAAGTGATTAGACTTCAGTGAGGTCTGGAAGAAGGTGAGGAAATACCAGCACTCACTTCCTGACTGGTGATCACATGAGGAGAATGCAGAATTCCTTCTCTCAAGGAAACAGGGATCAGCTCAGTAACTTGTTCTCAAAAGGATGAAAGGAAAACATGTTTGTGTTCTATTTGCAACTTTTTATAAGTCTGTGACTGTTTCACAATAAAGAAAGATTTGACAACTAAAAGATTCCTGATTCTAGGGAACAGGATGCGAGTCAGCGTCCCTGAGAGGAAGTACATATTACTGCTGGTGCTTGGGCAGCGCCATTGTGGCGATGAGGAAGGGACAGGATGGGTCCACGGTCCACAGAGTAAAGGTGAGGGGAGAGGAGTACAGCTGAGAGCCCTGGGCTGTGGTGGGGGAGCACAGCTGTCTCAGCTCAGCTGCCACCCCCCCACCCCCGCCGCCCATTCAGGAAGCTCTCAGCGTCTTGTCATTCCAGCACCACATACCCTGGGTTCTCAGCCATCCCTCACTTCACACCATCCTCTCAGCAACTACCCATGATTGCCTGCTTATTCCTGACGAGCCTGTGAGCCGCCTGAGAGCACAAAACTGACTTTGCTCCCTGCTCAGCACACCACTGTCAACTGACACAATGGGTAAGGCAAGGACCAAGGGCCTGTTCCTGGCAGTGACAGTCCTGAGTGTCAAAGTCACCTCTGCATCAGGAATCACATCACACTCGGCCCCTGGGGCCCTGTGCGCTTGGACATGGTGGCATCTAGCACCAGGGCAATTCCTTCTCCCACAAAACAGTCAGGTAAAGGGCAAAGGGCAGAGACGCCCACTGTGACCTTGCTTATAAAACAGACACATTAGAAACAATCAGATCAATAGGGTACTGGTGCATCAATCAATGCACACTCATACTGTGAAATGCCAGCCAGGGACAGAAAGGCAAAGGACTGACAGGGACAGGTGTCCAAGATGTAGTTAAGTGAGTAAAAGGGGAGAGTTCAGAACATTGAACTGTAATTTAATTGAACAGAACATTTGTTTTACAAACACAATGAATTACAACCTGCGGGGAAAATGCACCCTGCCCCACCCTGCCTGAGCCATCCCAACCATATTAGCTTCTGTAGAAGCCCCCACCCCCAAGACATAGAAATGTCAGAACACTGCCCATGCCCCACTCGCCAACTTAACTGTCACAGAGCGGCGAGGGCAGACAGCAGTGCAACATTCTCCTCTATCTCCAGAAAGGTGTTCTCTGCCCAGAACCTGCCCAGGAGCTTGACTCCACACTCCCCCGCTGCCTGAGTGAAACTGACCCCTTGGACTTCTGAGCTCAAGAGCTTCTCAAATGCTTCCCCTGATACACTAAGCTGCCAACCAAATTATTCAAACATGGCAGGGGGCTACGCAACCTCAATGCTTCCCACTGGAACGCCCCAAGGAACTCTGGGGTCCTCTCTTCAGTTGGAATAAAGCTCTACGTAACATGTGTTGAAAGGCTAGATGTCCACACCTGCTCCCCTGGGAGCACTGGCTGGATACCCCAAAGGGACATCTCAACCCAGGCTGCCCCCTGAAAGCTCAAGAAGCATCCGGGCTCCCCAGAAGGCGTCGCTGGAGGCCTGGCCATCGGGCCACTGCACCTGGAAAGCCAACACAGCATCACACACAGAAGCACCCTTCTGCCTGGCTCCACCTTCCCACCCTGCCACCCCTTACCTCCGGACCCACCCTCTCTGGACTCAGTCAGAAACACGAGCCCACAGAACCCACCTCCTGGGTCCCATTCAACTGATGTCCAGCCTTGAGGCATCCCTGCCCCTTGTTACATTTGCCTGGTTTATTCACTCCAAAGGTATGACCTGAGGATCCAAGAGTAAAGAGGGACACCCACACTACCTGGTGGTAGGGTCTCACCTGGTTGGAGGGCAAGGGCTGGCTCAGGTCCACAGCAGAAACAGGGCTGGAGAAGGAGGGGCCCGGTGCCAACTCCAGGGGACTGGAAAAGAGACATCAGGACAAGCCCCGTATCAAAGGGGCACCAGGTCACGGTCCACCCTGTGACTGATGTGACCTGACAGCTCTCTGCAGGTAAGCAGCCCTTCCAGGTACGCTCTTCAAGAAGAGTGTCCTCCCATGGGGCCCTTGGGTGTGCAGGTGCTGGAGGGACCCGTGTGACACCTCAGGCGGGTGGCCTGGGTGAGGCAGAGAGCACTTGAGGAGGCTCACAGAGAAGGACCAATAGACGGAAACCCGAAGGAAGAGGTCAAGAAGGGCCAGGCCTGGGTGCCATCAGGATCAAATTGGGGGAGCAGCAGGGAGAGCAGGGAAGGTGACAGGTGTAGCCACTCAGGACAACAGTGTGGCAGTTCCCTAAAAGGCAAACACACGCCTACAGCCATTCCACTCCTATGCGTGTCCACACCCCAGAGACAGGAAAGCACACGGGCAGACCTACATGCATCCGGGAATGCTCACAGTGACCCCAAACCGGGAACTCAGAAATGCCTACCAACAGGCGATGGGTCAAAACAGCACGGTCCATCCGCATCAAGGAAACAGAACCCACAAAGAGGAATGGACTGCTGATAACACACAGCAACAGGGAAAATCCCAAAGTACTCAAGCAGAGTAAAAGCAGCTAGACCCACCCCCCCCACACACAAAATTCAAAACTTCTGGATTTCATTCACATGGAATTCTAGAAAATGCAGCTAAAGAGAGGAGATCCATGGTCTTGCAGGTGGCGGGGATGGTGGCAGGGGGACTGACAGACATGGCTCAGCACATGGTGGATACAGAAGTTGCACTCAGAAAACTCTCATTTGTACCGTGCAAACATGGTGCTTTACTGAATGCCAACGATGCCCAATGAATCTACTGTTCGAGAAGGACTCAAGGTCATCACATCGAGCAAGGATGGGCTGGGCCACTGGAGTGCAAGGATGAGACAGCCGTGAGGAACCTGGTGGCAGCATTTTCTCCATCCAGGTTCCTGGTCATGAATGGAAAAGTGAGTCCATCTGCAAAGTCTGCATTTTCTCACCCTCTGGCTAGTTCAGCAAATAGAATCTGTGACTCGAGCAACTGCTCCCTTTCTCTCTCACACGCTGCCCTGTAATTCTGCTCTCACTGGGCACCTGGCGTTCAGCTCCCAGACTGGGGAGACTATGCACACTGGGGACCTAGTCCTGGTGACCCCTATCATAGATTCCCTGTCCGCCAGAGGACCTCCGACTTCTCACATTCCTCTAATCTCTCTTCTCAACCTCCAGATTCTCCTGGCCTGTTGTTCTGGCCCCCACGGCCACAGTCTGCAGCACCTAGGCTATTCACAGCCCTCTCAAGCACCTTTCAAACTACAGTTTGGAACATAAAATCAGGATCTTGATGCTGCTTAAAAACTCAGACAGCCTCTGTCTGGGGAAAACAAAATGCCAAAAAGCGGCTTCTGGGATCCAGGGTGATCTTGGGGAAGAGGCAAAGTGTGAGCACTGTCCACAATACAGACACCCATGTCTGCTCTGATATTTCTGGGTGTTCTTCTGTCTCAGGGAAAAACCACCCTCTTCTGGTAGATGTAGGGTGGGGATGATGATGTATTTTCCAGAAACCCATAAGGAAAGGACTCAATCTGCACATCTGAGGTGGCAAGTCTATAAACCAGGAATACCCTACCCATGGCTCTGCGTGGCTCACCTCTGGGTTAGGAGGAATTCGGGAGGCTGTGTCACCAGGAAGCCGCCCGCCTGTTGTTCTGCCTGGCCAACGCTGGTGCCTGGACCTTCCTCCAGGTACATGCTCGGGGGGTTGCCAACAGGTGGGTCAGCGAATCCTACACAGAAAAAATTCCACAACCCAGTGCTGGGAGGACAGAACACAGCCCACAAGCAGCACAATCGAGACCTCCACGAGAAAAGCAGCATCTGACCTGGCTGGCCCCAAGCCTCAGCTTCCCTTGCTGAGGAAGGAAGAGTCATAACTGTTGATCTCAACTGCCTTTTTAGGCTTCCAGAAACAAAAATTAAGCCCAATTTTGTGGACTTCAAATTTTGCTTCATCAACCCAGACTTTAGGCCAGCCCCCAGTGTCAAAGACTCAGCATCCAAATCTGCCCCACACGCAGGGCTGCCATGTGAGAACTTCTCAGTCTGTCCTGTGCTGGTTCATCAAAGGCTGGGCCACGTCCATTTTCACCTCTCACCTCAGGTTTCGCCACGATTTCAGAGATGCAAGGTATCACTACCTTACCTTGCCCCCCTCTCTATAGAAAACGTTGCAGAGGATATCTCAGTATACCTCTGACTCTTACAGATAAGCCATGGTAGATCTGATCAGTTCTGGGTCGACAAACTTCGAGCCACTTCGGAGTGAAGGAAGGTAAGAAGTCCACCAGGTGGTAACCCTAGCATCAGAGTCTCTGACCTCAGACAAAATAGCAGGCCAGCTGGGCCGGGCGCACCCTGTCCTCCCTGCCGTCTGCCAGAGTGACAACCTAACCTGCCAGCCAGCAGCCCAATCTCAGACCAAAAGAATTTTCCTGAGCATTCAAGTATGTGATTCTACCTCCACTTTCTGCTGTTTCCTCTTTTCTGCAGAACTCTAGAAATACTCTGAGGTACGTTAAATATAATTTAAGTGCTAATTTGAGCATTTCTGGTTCAAACTTAAAAGATCACTAGGTTACATCTTCTTCCTCCAAGAGGAAGACAAAAAGCCAAAAGCCCAGAACAAAGGGAGAGTCAGGGAAGGGGGAATTAGTGGGAGGAAGATGTCCCCAGTTCTGCAGACCCAGGACACAAGTACCATCCTATGTTGGCAGGGCATCTGAAAGGAAGGTAGGGTATAGGTCAGGTCCTGAGAATCTTAAGGTGGGAGGTTGGGAGGGAGGGAGCAGTAAGGGAGAGCAGGGAAACATCCTGGTGCTCAGGCGGTCAGTCTGCAGGAAGGCTCACCAATTCCTACAGAATGTCACCCCTCACATGAGCTGGACCTGGTGTGAAGACCAGCTCCCCTTGTCCCCAGTGACCGCCCCACTCCAGCCTTGTTGGTAAATATGGACAAACATAGGTCTCTGACAGTGGAAAAAGGACATGGAAAAATGAAGGACCAATATGATCAAACTGAAAAGCTGCCTCCAGAGCAATGAGTCTCCAGGACTCTTCCTCCTTCCAACCCCTCATCCTCCTCTCTTCAAGGAAGGGCCAGAATCCACAGCCCCAATATTCCTGCCTTCAGACAACAAAGCATGTTTTTTTAAACTTCTATTGAGAATACTCAGAAAAATAAAAGATACTGCATCTATAAAAAGTAACACAATCCCTGACGAAAATTCAAATAAAAAAACAGCTTGGAATTCTCTTAAAGTATAACTGTCAAATTGGAATTTTGAAAGACAGACTCTAACACCCCCAAAGCACACACAATAAAAAAGAAGAGGGGACACCTGGGTGGCTCAGATGGTTAAGCATCTGCTTTCGGCTCATGTCACGATCCCAGGGTCCCGGGATCAAGTCCTGCATCGGGCTCCCTGCTAGGCGGGGAGCCTGCTTCTCCCTCTGCCGCTGCCTCTCTCTATCTCTCTCTCTGACTCTCATGAATAAATTTTAAAAAAATTAAAAAAAAAAAAAAAGAAGAGAAACATAAAAAAAAAGGTAAGCACCTGCGGAGACTGGCCCAGGATTTCCGAAATCATCGTAAGATATGTGCTCTAAAGAGAACGAAGAACATGGAGGGGGTAAATTATCAAGGAATATTATCCAAAAAATACCCAGACCTTAGGGGAGACATTGTTATCTTCTTTAAATTGAAAGGCTTAACAGAAAGTGAATTAAAGAGACTCACACCTAGGACCATCATTGTGAAATTTCAGAACACCCAGACTTAAAGCAAACAAACAAAACAAAAAAACTCCAAGAAAGGAACAATATGTGATCTGCAAAGAAGCCAAGAGGATGACATCAACATCAGATGCTCAAACAATGAGAGGAATATATCTGCAAACATCTAAGGGAAAATATTTAAACTCACAATTCTGTCCCTGCCAAATTGTTCATCAAATGTGAGGGCAGGTTAAGGACAACTTCACAACACGTAAGGACTCAGAAAATTGATCTTGCAAGCCCTCTTTCTTGCAGTTAAGTGAAGACGTTCTCAAACATAACAAAGAAGTCAATGAAGACAGGACAAGACCTGCAATTCAGGAAACAGTGACCCAAACCAGGGAGGCAATGAAAGGAGTGCTCTTGGGGTGCTGACTCCACACCAGGTCTAGGGAAACATCACTTGGGTGGAAACAGGAAGGAGGGCTCCCAGCCACCAGTCTTCAGAGGAGACACTTGGAAAACTGGAAGAAGTTACAGATGCGATAAAAACAGGTAACATAAGAAAAAAGGAAGGCAATTAGAAACCCCAAGAAAGTAAAGACATAACCACAGAAGACTAAGAAATTTAGGTGACGGGAAAATTGATGGTGCCAATATCCTCCTCACAAGGTGAGATGTCACAAGATGCTTTTGTATTTGGTAGACAAATATATAGCTAAATACATATTCTTTAGAGGTACTTTTAGCTACAATAAGAACTAAGATGAAACTACGGAAATGGTATTTCAGTCACGAGATGTGGTAAGCTGTCCTCTGTTGCAGCAAGTGGTGACAGTAAGTCAGGTGGCCTGCAATGGGAGTGCAGGGGTGGCAGCTGTCTCATTTCATTTAACTCTTTCCTCACTGTCTTACTTTTAGTCGTATGCACATTTCACTTTGCAAACTAGAAAAGTAGGAGAGTGCTGATCCTTCCCACACCCCTTCAAATGAAACCCAAGTAGTTGTGGCATCTTGTGCAGAAAAGCATGGTCTGTGTGGAATGGACCCACCTGTGGCGCTGGTCTCACCGAGGGCAGTGATGGACACAGCCACAGTGGCATCTGCGGGGCGCATCATGAGGTCCAGCCCAGTCTGGAAGGAAACTTCCTTGGAGGACGCCAGTGCAAGGGACATCAGCCATGACTCAGGGGCAGCCAAAGAAGGGTCCAGCATGTCACTGCCAGCAGTCAGAGGGCAGAGGCCAGGGCCTGGGCAGATGTGGGGGAGAGTGGCAGGACTGTGGCCAGGCCCCTCCTGGTACATCTCACCGCCCTGCAGAGACCTGGGAAAGACAGCAAACACCATCCCTTGGAGGGCAGAGACTCCCTCAGGCCGGGGCAGAGAGGCCTGGGAGGAGACTCCAGCCCCATTTGGGAATCCAGGTAGCCACTGACGGCTGTGGGGCCCAACAGATCCCTAACTGCCTTGTTTTCACAGTTCTACCTGTGGCTGCAAGGGTTCCAGAACACTTAAAAAAATACTATTACTGGAAATCTAAGACACACTAGCAGTTCATTTAAAAGGACCTTCAATGAAGCATTGTTCCACAATACTGAAAAGACTCGATATTGCACACTCGCTGTGTCTCAGATGGTGCTCCTGGGCTTCTGTGACGCCCCTCCCCTACCCCTGTAATTTCTGCAACAACCTGCATCGTATTCCCTCCCCATCTCGCAGATGAGAAACGCACGGCACTGAGAGCTCACAGGAACCTGCCTAAGTTCATACACCTGGGCAGTGCCGGCCTGCATAGGAAGGGCCAGGTGCAGGGAGTGTCATGAGAGATGCTGATGTCACAATGGTAAATAGAAAAAGTGTCCACATCTTGATGGTTACACAAGGTGGAACCTGGACCCTCTCTCAGACCTAGTCCTGCTGACGGCCAGCACGTTCCTTATCCTTACATCAGGTCCATGCCTCATCCCTGGTGAGGGAACGTGCCTGGACAGTGCCTAGTGCATAGTCAGAACTCAAGAAATATTAGCTGTTACTGACTCAATGATATAGAAACAATACAAAATACCAGAAATAAAAAAGAAACAATAGCTAGGGTTTGGCTTTAGGAAGTAAGCCTGCGTATGTTTCTTTCCAACTCTGTTTTCCCCATTCTCCAATATATACATGAAGTCAGGCTGTGAGCCAGGCTCCAAGGAGCAAGTGTGGGGTCCCTGATATGGACTCCTTACCAGCGGCTTCTCCACCCCAGAATCACGGAGGTCTCTCTGCTCTCAGCAGTCACTGACCTGGTCTCACTGTCAGCCCCAACATTCACATGCCTGCTGCAGGCCTGGTCATCCACCCAAGACGGTGAAACTAAATAGGGTGATGGTCCCACGGGCTGTGGGGATGGCAGTACCTGGGAGGTGATGGTCCCACGGGCTGTGGGGATGGCAGTACCTGGGAGGCAGGGGCTTTGGCAGAGTCTCATCTCCAGAAAAGTCTGGGGCCAGGGCCAGCGACTCCCATGGCCCTTGAGTGGTCTCCCTGGACTGTGCAGGCCCATTTTCCTCCTGTCCTGCTGAAAGCCAATCGGGGAGGAGGGGAGGCTTGGTGATGCTCTGAGTCCCATCCCAGCAGGTTAAGAGCAGCCCTGCTGGCTGGAAAAGGGTGTTACTACTGAGTCATTACAATATCCTTTGTTCCTTAAATGTCTTTTGTCTGACGCCAATCCGTAACTACAAACCCAGGAACCCCTAAATCATGGTGGCTGGCTCGCTTCCCAAGTCGGCTCACGGACTCCTGGCCCTGGACACACAGTGACCTCTAAATGCACACCGGCTGCGGCAGCCTCCCTGGGGCCCATCCTGAGCCCATCCTGAGCCTCAGCGTCAGGGACCTCGCTCCCCACAAGAGGACGTCCTGCAAGTGCACACTGGGAGTGGAGGGGCTGTCCCTACAAGAGTGACCCTACCTCGGCCCAGCCCTAGACAGAGGGTGCGGGCGTCAGAAGCAGCCCGCAACCGCAAGCAGGGTGGGGCCCTGGAGCCACTCACCTGGCCACTGAGGCCTGTCCGCACCCCCAGGGCCGAGGCGGGGCTGGCCTGAGGGCTGCGGGCGGTCCGGGGCCCTCTCCCTCACACTGGGCTCCTCTACTGCGTCCTCCGCGGCTGGCTGCAGGCGCTGGAGAAGGGCCCTTTGGCGCCGCCGGTAATTGGCGAACCAGTTGTACACTTGCTCAACAGTCAGGCTCGTCTCCAGGGCCAGGTTCTCCTGCTCCAAAACAGCACAGCCTCGCGCCCCGCCACCGCCCCCGGAGCAGCAGGGGTGCCCGGGGCGACCCGAGGGGGCGGGCCCCGCCTCCCGCCCTGAGCGGCCTCCGGGCGGGGGCCCGAGCGCGGTCTTCGGCGCCGCCAGGCACGTCCCCCAGCCGGCTCGCTCCTCCCGCCGACGCCAACGCAGACACGTGGCGGGCCCGGGCAGCGCCACGGCCCGGCAGGAGAGCCGGCGCGCTCCGGGGCCCGGCGTCCGAGGGCCACGGGTCCGCCGGCGGCGGCGGAAGCCAGCCCACAGAGCTGGCGCGGCGATCGCCGGGAGAGCTCTGCCGATTGGACAGGGAGCGCGGCGGGCGGGGCAGGCACAGGAGCGCCTCTTGATTGGGCAAGCCCCCACTTGGGGGAGCCTTGCTGATTGGACGAGGGAGGTAAGTGGGTGGAACTAACACAGGAGAGCCCTGCCGATTGGACAGAGCAGAGAAGTGGGTGGAGAGAACAGGCCCGGACTTCGGAGCCGCAGGAAACCGGCTCCGTCGGGGGGCCTCCCGCCTGTTCCCTCACAGCCTGCCCCCGACTCCGTCCCTCCGGCTTCCGGGGGCTGCGGAGCGGAGGGCGCCCACCGGCCTCGGCAGGTACTGAGCTCTGCAAATATCTGCCCCCCTGACGCTGGAAGCTCCACGACGACAGTCTCCTCAGCCTGGTACCCCGTGCCTGGCCGTGTGGGGACAGGATGACGCCCCCTGAGAAAACTAAACCCTCCACGTGCGCAAGCTGGATGGTCAGCAGCTGCCGGCCAGTGAGCTCCTGTCCTCCAGGAAGCTCAGCGCAGCAGAAGCCACCGGCGCCCTGGCAGAGGGGCCACTCGGAAGGCCCGGGGGAGGGACGGGACAAGGGTGGGGGGCGGCCTGGCCTCCAGCTCCTCGGCTCTTACCCTCTCGGCCTTGCTGGGGTTGGTGCTCACGCCAGAGGCAAAGTCGTGCAGCTTCTGGCGAACCTCTCTGGGAAAGTTCCGGCTCTTCGGGCCGTCCGGGCAGAGGGAGGGGGGTGGTGGGTTCCTGGATAAGGACAGTGAGGAGGTGGTTACAGACGCTCCTCCTGGGTGCACCTCATGGGCTCCCAAACACTGTGCACCCCTGGACACCCTCTTATCTCACTGGCTGCCCCCCCCCCAAGCTGTGTGCTGCTGAGTCCCAGGAGTCCATCCTCTGAAGGACAGAGGGGCCCAGCATCAGCCCGTTTTCACCTGCACACCCTCACGGGGGTCACCAAGCTCTCCAGTACCACTCTCAGTGATGGCCCATAGCTATTGAAAGTGGATGATGAGGACATTGAGGTTGGTCATGCCACTCACTTTACTGTGTGTACACATGAATTTTTCCAAAAGGAAAAACTGATATATAAACAAATGGTACCAGCGGGGAACACCCAAGATATTCAAACACCAACTGAACAAATCATCATGGATGTCAAAAATGCATCCCACACATACGACATCCCAAATGGAGCTTGATCCTTCACTCTCCCAGTCTTCCCCCAGGCCCCAATTCTGTGCATCTCAGTGAGAAACCACCATGTTCCAGCCAATCAGGCCAAGAGCCCTGCAGGCTGGCTTTATTCTCTCTTAACCTCTTCCAACACATCCGGCTTGTCAGCAAATCCTCCAAAATCTGCCCTGACACACCCAGAGACTCCCAAGAGCCTCCTGCCTCTCTCCTGTACCAACCACCCTTAGGTGACACCCCTCTCGGAGACACCACCACCTCCAGGTGGTGGACCAACCATCGCTCTAACTCCGATATCACCCCCTCCTTACACTTCCAAGGGCTGCCATCCCCACACTCAGGCCTCTCTGCCGAGGCTTAGAGGAGCCCGCGCTGTACCCCCCTCCCCAAAACAAAGAACAAAGGTGGCATAGTCCTCTACTAAGCACATTCTCTGTCTAGTACTCCCCACTCTGAACTATGGAATCTACTTTGTGTCCTCTCTACTGTCCCTTGTCTGCAGCCAGTGTCAGCTCCAGCACAGTAGGGCCCAGGCTATATCCCCAGCAACACCAACAGCACCCAGCAATCAGGGGGGGCCTCTTCACAAACACTGCATACTGATCCCCAAATCATCTACTGAACTGTACTCTGCCAGGCCATCAGCAACTATATGGAGGGACATGATTCCATTCCTGAAGACCCTCAAGGCTGATGAACTGCTGGGTTTTGAGGACGTATCTCGTTCTTTGGCAGGCACCAGGAAAAAAAATTCTCTCTGATCCAGAAGGAATCCATCTCTTCCAGTAACCAGGCCCCATAGCGCAGGAATCCCATTACTTGGGCTCCCAGGAGCTCAGAGCCAGATCTACAGCCCTTCCTGGTCAGTGGGCAACACCCAAGATCAAGAACAAAGGCTCTACAGTCTCAGTGTCTAGCCTGGAGTCCTAGCTTTGCGTCTCTCTCCTCTGTAACCTTGGGCAAGTCCTGACCTCTCTGTGCCTCAGTTTACTCATCCATAAGTGGTGATGAAGGAATAATAGTAATTAGCAGCTGTAATGTTTCCTTAGTGCTGATAATGGCTATGGTGGTAATTACTATTAAGGAGGACCCACCATCTGTCATGTGCCAGGCAATCTCCTAAGCACCACATACATCTCGTCTGATGCTTACATCACTCTCATCTTTACCTCTCTTTAAAAGGCCCTGCAGGGCACCTGGGTGGCTCAGTTGGTTAAGCGACTGCCTTCGGCTCAGGTCATGATCCTGGAGTCCCGGGATTGAGTCCCACGTCAGGCTCCCTGCTCAGCAGGGAGTCTGCCTCTCTCTCTGACCCTCCCCCCTCTCATGCTCTCTCTATCTCATTCTCTCTCTCAAATAAAGAAATAAAATCTTTAAAAAAAAATAAAAAATAAAAGGCCCTGCAGCCCTGAGGGGTGGTGTTGCAGACCCAGGCCCATGGCACCTGCAAAGCCAGTCTGTGGGAATCAGATGACCGAAGGTACACGTGCTGGGCATCTCCCACAGGAGGAGAAGACAAGAGGAAGAGAGTGAGGTCAGGATGTCCACCTGCTGCCTCCTCCCCTGCAGAGCCCTCACTGGAAGGCAGTGGCTCCTTCTCCTTGCCCTGCAGGCAGAAGTAGGAATGCACCCCCATGTCCAGCTGCGCAGGTGGAGAGTGTGGCTCAGTGCTGGGCACATGGGCTGATGCAGAGCCTATCACCTTTTGACTATTACTGCTTTTTCTGACTTTTCCTGCATTTATCTCCCTATCTCTGCCTTACCTAAGCCCCACTGTGGTTTTAGATGGCACATCCCTCAGGAGTCCTGGGGAACACGCACAAATAAAGGCTAGCGGTGTACCTCTTTCTGCAGCGGAACTTCTGCACTGGGGTTAGCACGGCCACGCCCAGCCGCTTCATGACCAGGCGGTAGTGAATGTCGTTCCAGAGCTGTACCAGCTCCTGGCTGCCTCCAGGCACCTGGCAACCCTGCCGAGAAAAGCCTACTGAGACCTGGCTGCCCTCACCCATCCTGGAGCACTGCCCTCCAACCCGACCTGACCCTCAGGAAGAGCTGCTGGCTGAGGGGTGGGGCAAGGTCCCATCAGCCCTTCAGCCCTCCCACAAAGCAGCTCTCAGTCACTCCTTACAGGTGAGGAGCAGGAGTCAAGAGGAAGGCAAACGACAGGCCTGGGGCCACAGAACATATGAAAGGCAGACTCACAGAGCTACATGGTTGGATTTGAGGGTCCAAGGTTTGACCCATATCTTGCGTGAAAGACCTTTCTCTCCCACCCAGCAGGGCTGCTCCCTCGCATGCTCAGTGAGTGCATTTTGAGCCAAGAGGGATGAAGTGGTTCTGGTCTGTGCCCCACCAAGCTCACCAAGCCAGTGCGACCTGTTCACACGACCAGACTCCGGAGATGGCCAAGGATGCCTGGTGCTGGCCTCCCGACACAGCCCTATGGTCTGTGTGGGGTTCCTGCATTTAACTCCAATGTTCTCAGGATCATCTCAGCAAGGGAGGTACCAACAATCATTCAGCCTTCCCTCCACAGTATCAGAAAAAGCCCACTTTGCGAGGCTGTGACTTCCAGTCTGCTGCCAGGATGCAGCCATCAGCCTTGGACACAGTTGTCAGGGAACCCTGCCACCTACAGGATGTGGTCCTGGGCAAGAAATGCCCATTCTTGGTGTGCTGTCCCCATCATATCTCTCAGGTCTCCCCTACACGTCAGCTCCTCAGAGACATTTATGGACCGTCCAGACTGAGTTTATAATCCCTCCCCTGGGAGTTTTCCATCACTGATGTCATTCACACATTTCATCACCGAGTGCCTCAACAGAGTTATTACAACTCCGTGTTTTCCCTTGTTTGTTTACTTTGACGGATTTGAAAAACTGAGCCCCTCTGACTCACAGGTGTTACATTAGGTGTCGTGGATCCTGTCACAAGCACAACGGAGGCGGCCGCTCCCTCAGGGGGCCTGCAGTGCAGCGACAGGAGGCAGACAGAACAGAGGCCTGAGGGAGGAGCCAGAGGGTGAACAAGACTCTACACTGGAGAATAAAGGGGGCACTGCCTAGACAGGGTGACATTTAGAGCAGAAACCAGAAAGGAAGAAAGGCACCAGCCGCACAGAGGGCCCGGCTCCAGCCTCTGGCAGAGGGAGCAACACATGCTGAGCTCCTGAGACGAGGGAAGATGTCAGGAGTTGTATGAACAGCAAGGAAGCAGCATGGCGACTGTGAAGAAAGCAGGGGGAGAGTCTGACAGAGAGACCGGAGAGCAGACAAGCTCAGATTGCGGGCTCAGGTGCACACCGTGGCCCATCTGCTGCCTGTGAACTCTCTGGCTGCTACATGAAGGACAAATCAAGGGGACAGGAGGGGACTACACAGCCTATGGGGAAGGGAGTGGAAATTGAAAGAACTGGAAAGAAAGGAGTATCTTGGGGCACCTGGGTGGCTCAGTCGGTTAAGTGTCTGTCTTCGGCTCAGGTCATGATCCTGGGGTCCTGGGATTGAGCCCCACAGCAGGCTCCCTGCTCAGCGGGGAATCTGCTCCTCTCTCTCCCTCTGCTGGTGCCCCTGCTCATGCTCTCTCTCAAATAAATAATTAAAATCTTTAAAAATAAATAAATAAAATCTTTAAAAAAAACTGAGTATCTCGAAGGTAAACTCAGCAGCACGAATTATGCATAAACTGTATGATGGGGTGATAGAGAGAAAAATAGGCCCTCAAATCCCTTATTTGAAACCCTTTGAGCCAGATGTATTTTGGAATTAAGAATTTCTCAGATTTTAGGAAGTAACACAGGCATATCCTGTGTAATATGCACCACCCCAGTATAATCTGGAGCAGGCAGCATGCTGTAATCAAACATACCAGTATTTAGGTAGCAGAGTGTACCATGGTCACATTAAATGGCTAAAGACCATAAAGACTTCACATCGGTGCAGGTCAGGTCACATCAGTGTCAAATGCATCCAAGTAACACCAGATGAGTGACAAAGATACTTTTGGTTTGCATGCTCGGTTACAGACCTGCAGCTAAGGGACTGAGGTTCTGGGTCTGTCTGACCGTCTTACCAACTGGGATCCCAACTCTCCAAGTGAGGAACACCGCTCAATATGGATCTCATAAATGGATAGTTCGGCCTCAGATTACTAAGGTAGTTAGAACTCTGTAAAGAGAGTGGACCATTCTAGCTTGGTTTATAAAACGTCTCCCCAGGTTCTTGCCGACTTGGGGGCCTTTCTGTGGTGTCTGGGATGGTGCTGTAGCTCTCTGCATGCCCCTCACAGACCAGTCCTACCTCCAGGACCCGGCAGGCAGCCTGATGCTGCTCCTGCTGGGCCAGCACCCGGGCACACACAAGGGCCACATCCGCGTTGTCTAGGAGGTGCAGGCGGAGCGGGCTGTCCAACACGGCGGTGGCCAAGGGCTGCACCTGGGCTGGGTCATCCTGGAGGTCCCGGCACAGCCTGCCTGCAAGAGTCACCAGATCTGCCAAGGGTGGCCCAGTGCCCCCACTCTCCCTCAGCAGCTTCAGGAAGCTCTGCATCCCGCGTCGGGTTCAGGCCCTCTGCAAACAAGACAGCAATCATGACAATGGCCAGCACTGCCCACAGGCTGACTGCACGTCCATCCACAACTCTGCAAGGCCCCTCTTGCCACAGGCATTTGTAACATGGTGGTAGGAGCTCACTGAGAAAAGGCAGAGGGGCATCAATGCCTGCTACAATTTCCCGTTTTTAGTCCTCATTTGTGTACTAGGTGCTCTCACTGCAATGGTTCATCTCATTCCTGTGACTCTTTAGTCTGTGCCCCATCCACAGGCCCCACACTGGTCCTCCCATGTCTCCTCCTCTCTGTTTCCCCCACAGTCTTACACATACAAGGTAACTGTGCTGTGTTTCACTCCTTCTCTTGGCTCAGTCAGGGCAGGAACCCTGTGTTGGGGTCATTAGATTTCCCCAGCATCTGCCCCATGGATGCCCAGGCCTCTCAGAGCAGTAGGAGGTACCCTGAGCTAGGGGCTTGGCAGACATTGCTTACATTCCTACAAAGAGAAGCCATGGGACCTGCCAGAGCAGGACTAACACCATCTGCTTTTGACTATTATGATTTTGAAAACAAACAAACATATTTGAAAAACACAAAATTTTAAAGATTGCCCTAATCCCACACTTTAAAAAAAATATACGAAAGGATGAACATTTGCTGGGCCTCCCTGTGCCTGGTCCATCTACTCTGCACTGTCCCCCCCCACACACACACACACATAGTGGTAAGCTATGGCAAGCTGGATTTGAAGCCTTTATGAATTTTTCTTTTTTATAAAAAGCTAACTATGTATACATACAGCAGTTTTTACCAAAAGAGAGATTGCTCCTGCCATTACTCAATCTGGGCACTACCACAGGCATATTCCCTAGACCATATGAATGGTCCTGCAGAGTACCCACGACAGAGTACCCATGACAGTAGGGGCCAGACTTGTTTCAACACCTGTCCACCCCCGAATATTCGGTAGCATGATAACCCTACTACCTTTGGTTCACAATTACTCTTACTTCTATAGAACAGACTCACGTAAGCGAGGTTCAAGAGTAGTGCTATATAGCATTGTGTTTTAGTAGATGCTACCAAGCTGCTTTCTACAAAGGTGGTAAGAATCTGCGTGCCCGGAACTGCAGAGGGCAGGCCTGTGCGCACTCCCTGGCGGAGGGTCTGGCCTCAATTGCTAGGTCTTTCCACCCTGCACTGCCTCTCAGGTCCTTCTCAGCTCATGGGGCCGTCCACCAGGGGGAAGCGCTCCCGTCTACGCCGCTGCTTCTGAGCTTTAGTGCCGTTCGCTCGATGCTAACTTAGGGCCCAGCGTTTCTCCCCATCGCATTGGGCAGGAGGCCGCTGATCCCGCGTCCCTCGAGGGAGCCGAGGCTCCAAGGCTTCGGTGGGGGCGGGAGGGGGAGGGCTCCTCGCGAGACCCCGGGTTCTTCCAGCGCAGCCCCACCCACCCCCACCCCCGCCCCAGCACTGGCTCTAGGAAGAGAGGCCAGGCAGGAGTCTAAGGGCCAAGCTCCTGCGGACGGAACCGCGGAGTTCAAGAACGAAGTGACCTCTTGGGGGGGTACCCAGGACACGGAGGGGCCCCGGCCCCGGGCAGGGATGGAGGGGCCCCGACCACCGGGCAGGGATGGAGGGGACCTGGGGGAGCGTGGCTCTGCTGGGCTCCCTGACCCGGGCACCCCCTGCCTGGCTCGACCCGCCCCCCACTCCTGTACCTTTCGGGGCGCGCTGCTCCCCGGCAAAGCCGAGATTCCTGCCCAGCGGCACCCGCCCCGCCCCGCCAGCTCACTGCGCCCCACTTCCGCGCTCGCTGCACGTGCTCTGCCCACACCTCCGGGGAGGAGGCGCTGGGCGCGGAAGGCGCGGTCGCTACAAAGTATCGAGGCTGCGGCCAATCGGGCGAGGGCTCCGCCCGACAACCTGGGCCTCTGGGCCTGCGCCCCGGCGTACCCCTGCGCGGAGGAGGTCCGTCTGGGTTCGCGCGGGTTCTGGGGAGGCCGAGAAGTTCTGGGGGGTCCGTGGGGGCTCTGGAGTAACCGGGAGTTTCTGGGGGTTTGTAGGCGCAGTGGAGCCTGGCTCTGCGCGTCCTCAGACCCAGGAAGGAATGGGGCCAGGGCCTGAGGGTCGTGGCTATGGAGAGAGTCTGGTTGGCAGTGGAGGAGAAAGCACCACGATCCTTGAGCCCGCGGAGGCAGGAGAAAGCTGTGACCTTTGACTGACCCCATGCCACCCGCCTGGGTGCACAGCGGAGCCAAAGCCCAGCTGAGGTTGCAGTTCCTGGGCGGACGTCCCCCTCCAGCGCTGAGACCCGCACCCCCACCCTGGCCCCCGTGGGAGGAGGGCGCCTTTCAAATCCAGAACCGCCCCCTCCCAGGAGACGTCGGAACAGAGGCCCCCGCAGAGGGCGCAGGGTCCGCGGTGCAGGTGCACCGCCCCCCACCCCCACCCCGGGAGCGGCCACCTGGGACAGCTCGGGCCGACCTCCACGCGATCCTGAGCGACCTAGGATGGCCCCGGGGCAGGTCCCAGATTCTCACAGACCCGCGCCAAAAGATGGACGGAAATCACTAAACTGCTCACGTCCTGGATTGGACAAGGTCTAGCCTCTGCCCAGGTGGTCTTTAAGCTGTGGGTTCTCTCACACAAGTAAACTCCAGAAATGAGGGACCAGGACGACTTCGAGTTGGTTTTTACAGGTGGTCAAGGTCTTACTGGAAAGATTCTCTGACGCCAAAGCTTATATATATAAGCTTATGTAAAAGACATCGGCAGAAAGATCAACATTTCAGCCTTTGTTCAAGTGCAAATCTGGAAACAATCCAACCGTCTGGTGAAAGATTTGCTAAATAAATCACACTTCACAAAGAGGACGGGCTCCTGGAAGTTTATTAGTAATTATGCTTTGGAAGAATGCTGACTTGACTGTGATCGTGATACATTGTACAATAAAAATGGTGTGTAACAAGACAGTTTGAGTGATTTGAGCCTATTCGTAAAGTACAAACGTGAAGTGATATATGCCACATTGTTAAACCCTGGTTGAACCTAGGTGATAGAATTATTTTACTTCATAACTTTTATTGAGCATTTTAATTTTCTTCTTTTTGCCTACCCATGTTTTCTATTTTTTATAAAAAGAGGATTCTGTCTTTAGGGTTGTTTTCAAGAGAATACAACAGGGCTGTAGGAAGCAGTCCTGAATGACCAAGTACAGATGGCCCTTGACCAACATGGGTTAGAACTAATGGGGTCCGCAGCTCCTGGGTGGTTCCATCCGTTAAGCGTCTGCCTTCGCTCAGGTCATGAGCAGGGAGCTGAGCAAGCAGCCTGCTTCCCCGTCTCCCTCTGCCTGCAGCTTCCCCTGCTTCTGCGTTCTCTCATTGTCAAATGAATAAAGAAAATTATTTAAAAAAAAGAACTACACGGATCCCCCATACCTGGATTTTTTTTTTAAAGATTTTATTTATTTGACAGAGAGAGACACAGCGAGAGACACAGCAAGAGAGGGAACACAAACAGGGGGAGTGGGAGTGGGAGAAGCAGGCTTACCACTGAGCAAGGAGCCTGATGTGGGGCTCCATCCCAGGATCCTGGGATCATGACCTGAGCTGAAGGCAGACGCTTACCGACTGAGCCACCCAGGTGCCCCTATACCTGGATTTTTAAAAAATAAACACAGTACCTTAAATATATTTTCTCTTATGATTTTAATAACATTTTCTTTTCTCTAGCTTAACTTATTGTAAGAGTACAATATAAAATACATGTCACATATAAATTATGTTAATTAACTATGTTATCACTGAGGCTTCTGGTCAACAGTAGCCTGTTAGTAGTTAAGATTTGGGGGAGTCAAAAGTTATACATGGATTTTGAACTGCACAGGGTTGGCATCCCCAACTCGTGCGTGTTCAAGAGTCAACTGTATAGTGAGGCACAGGGGAAATGGAAGATTTGCTGCAGCACAGCCTCCCATTTACAGTGAAATCTTTCTGTTAATGCAGTCATAGGCTCTTTGTCTAGGACACACTAGATGCTCAATCAAAATATTCCTGATTGCTCTCCAGTGAATTGAAAAACTCAGTGGAACCTAAAATGTAAAAATATCTATGCTATTAAATTCAAATGTAATTCAACAAATTATATGATCCTAATTCACTAATATATCAGTTGATTTTTTTTCGGTTGCCATTTACTGAACACTCAGTATGTCGCAAGTAAGATGTTATTATTTGAGGCTCCTACCCCACACCTGAGCTAAGATTATGTTTCCTTGTTACTGATAAAGAAATGGGTCCAGTGAATTTTAAAACACTTTCCAGAGGTCCTCTGGCTTTTTACCTGTCAAACCAGGAAGCCTACATTCTTAACTTCAGCATGTAACTATTTCTATGTTTTCTAAATCAGGACAAACTCTTCATAAGCTTCACTTTGAATAGAGGCTTGATCTTCCAACAAAATGTAATTGACCCGTGCTCACTGTAAATAAGGGCTTCCTTCTCTCCTGTTCTTCCATGCTTTCGAATGTGGATGCAATCATCAGCACATAATACATTCTTTTTTTTTTTTTTTAAGATTTTATTTATTTATTTTTTAGAGAGTGAGCGAGAGAGAAACAGCATGAGAGGGGAGAGGGTCAGAGGGAGAAGCAGGCTCCCCGCTGAGTCGGGAGCCCGATGTGGGACTCAATCCCAGGACCCTGGGATCATGACCTGAGCCGAAGGGAGACACTTAACCATCTGAGCCACCCAGGCACCCCAGCACGTAATATATTCTAAAGCACACTTACCTATTTCCAGATTTTGTTCTCTCCAGGACCAAGACTAGCTGGGGTGGACAGTTCAATTACTTGACAACTATATGACCTTGGCCAAATTATCGATTCTCTCTGTACCTTCTTTCACCTTTGGTAATATGGGTATAATAACAGAACCCTTCATGGGATTGAGATAATTAGTCAATACTCAAAAGGGGTCCAAAGGACTGGTCTCCAACAGCTACAAAACGCCCTTATATGCAAACAGACATGCAACAAATCTGACAAATCTCCCAAGAGGTTCTTACCCTGGGGCCATCAAGAACGGTTCACGGGGCAGTGAGAATGGACATGAATTCCCACAGAGGAACCCATGGTGATGAAGGTAATTCCCTGGAAGGAAGAGAGGTTCAGGGTGAAACAGAGGTTCTTAGGAGGCTGATCTAGATTGCGGATCAGGGATTTAAAAAATGTATTCAACTAATAGGGGAAAAATATAAGAATCATCAGAAATTTTTCCCCCCAAAGTTTTTCTTTTTAGTAATCTCTATATCCAATGTGGGGATCAAAACCATGACTCCAAGATCAAGAGTCACATGTTCCTCCAACTGAGCTGGTGAGGCACCCCCACCAGGTTTTCCTAAAAAGTAAATGTAATACGAAGGAATCTACCTTACCAGATTTTAAATGTGTTAAAAATAGTGTACAAATTAGTTTTTGATGTCCTCCCAAAGGACATTAGAAATGGCTCTCGTTTTTGCTGTGACAGAAGCTGTTCAGACTAACAGCCCTGCTAGAGGGCCCCCCACCACCACCATGGCATGCCTCCATGCTTGTTTTCTCTAGTGTCCAGCTTCCCCATGTTAGGGCAATGACTCAGCAGGTGGGGAGCCCACACTCCTACAGTCTAGATCTACTAAGGTTCAGGCTGTGTTACAGAGTACTTTATCTTCCAAATAAGGCCAGGACTAGGGTGAGGCAAGTGAAGCACAAACAAACTCCATAATCAAGATAAACTATTTTAATGCAATATTTTTAAAAATATAAATTAACACCAAAGAATCCACAATGAACAAATAACAAAATTGTTTGAAAAGACGAAATGAGTATTACTCAGTTTCCCTTGTGCCTCAGGCTCTGAGGTGGCTAGGCAGTGGTGCTCCGCTCAAATGAGGCCCCTTCCTCTGTGCCTCTGGGGGTAGGTCAGGTGGAGCGGGGATCAGGGACTGAGTGCCCGTACTAGTTACTGAGCAGACAGCACATTCCTAATGGTCTGTAAGGTGGGTATTTTATTTTAGTGTAGAATTCTATGGTTTTGTTGTATCACAAGTTGTTTATCCATTCAACTGTTGGAATTTTTAACTGTTGGCAGTTCATATATTATCGGTAAAAATGCCATGAATATTCCTGTGACATTTTAGAGTGAACACAAGCACTCACTTCTTTTGAGTATACAGCTAGGAGAGGAAAAGCAGAGTTATAGTCGTATGTTTAGTTTTCGAAGCTGCCAGCTTCCACAACTGTGTGAACTACCTCCTTGCCTCACTTAGAGCTTGACGGCTTCCTGGGTTGGTGAGGTCTCTTTGCTTTCCAATTCTTATGATTTCCAAGCTCCCAGAGATGTTTCAGTGCTACTTCTAGTCTCTGCCTCCTCTGAGGATAGCCCTCTGGGAAGGCTTATAATGCCTTGGGAGTCTCTCAGTTCTCCTGACCTTTCTCCCATCTTTTGTAATAGAAAGATTTGAGTGCCTGGGGATGGTTCTCTTATATGGGGGGGGGGGGGAGCGGGGCAGGAAGGGATAGTGTGTTCTCAGTTCTCTACCCCTCCCTCAGCCTAAAAGTCCAGATTGCTTCTAAAGGATTTCCCTCAACTATTGCCCTGTCCACCTTCCTGCCTTCAGGTAGTATCCACCTTGCACTTAGAGGACCTGGCACCTCGATGGGATTTTTTAAAGCTTTCTCTACCAAGGGTTCCATGAAGACTCATGGCGAAGAGTTGGCTGCACACTCCTTCACGGTGGGGGCTTTGGGACTCTAATGTGTCACCCCAGTCCATAGGCAACCACCTACTTGTCTCACCCCCATATGCCATCCCGGCCCTCTCCTCTTCCTGCATTTCACCAAGAATAAGAGCAGCAACTCTCTTTTCTTATATAAAGTGTTCCCTACTTTTCACTGCTATGTTCATTTGGGCTTGGGTTCTCAGTTTTCTAAGATGCTGTATGTAGGTTATCCAGTTTAACCAGAAGCAAAACACAACAAATGTTGAAAATATATATCCAGTACAAGTCCTACTCTAATTGCAATTCTGAATATTTGCCTGAAACTTATTTTAGCTTTCCTAAAGAGACAACCACATCTCCAAACAATGGAACTTTTTTTCCTGCCCTCACCCTCAATTCCTTACTTTGTTTTCACACATTGGCTAGAATTGTCATACACTGTTCAATAAAAGTGATGAGCACCTGTATACTTTTCTTAATATAAAGGAATATATATCTACCAATAAGTGTGACCTTTGTCAGTTTTTGGAACATACTCCTTGCAAAGGTAAAGGACTTATTTTCCATTCCTAATGTAATAATATTTAAAAATAATCTATGGGTATTAAATTCCATCAAATGTTTTATCTAAACACATTGAGATAATCATACGGCCATTCTTTTATCTGGTAGTGTGGTTAATTTTATGAAAAGATTTTCTATTATTAAATCTCCCAACATCATAATGTATTTTTATAGGGTCACATTCCACTGCATGTAACAGAACCAACTCTCTTCCCACCCAAAAAAGAAAAGGTGGCTTAAACAAGACAGTTCATTTCCCCTTACATAGAAGATACTCAGATGGTAGTGGTGTGGGGCTGGTATACCAGATAGCCCTGCAGCAGATGGCTTCTGTCTTCCAGATGCATCCAGGCTCTGTAGTGGTTGCTCAATCTCCAAGCACTATGTGTGCTGTGTATTAAAGTGAGGAATGATTACAGGACACTGAGGGGTTTTCTTCACCTGTTTTCTTGACAACCTTCCCCTACAGTGTCGGCAACCTCTATCTCATTACTCAGAATTTAGCAGCAAGATCATACTTTGCTACAAAGATAGTGGAGAAATGTGGCTTTTAAGGCTGGGCCACTGGCATTATGAAAAGTACAGTGATTCCACTGGTAATGAAGGGATACTGGACTCACGACTAGTGGTCTGCTACACTTAATATTGTCATGACTTAAACAAAAAAACCCTCCACATTATTAGCATTTATGAATGCTATATTAACATTTAGTTTATTTTCAACTATGTTCATAAATATGAACTGCAAGTCATTTATCCCCCACATGTCAATTTTAGGGAAAAATTGTAAAATGCTGGATTATCATTCCTTGACTTTTCCTGAGAATTATCAACATCACTAAAAGTCTCTGGAACTTCTTTCTGTTCTGGGGCTGGGTCAGGGTTAGAAGGACTAGGTAGATTTTCAAGACAGAGATTCAAATTTTTACTTTTCCTTTTTGTTTACTAGTTGTAGATCTATTCATTCTGTTAAATTTCATTTATCTGGTAAACTTTCTTTTTCCTTTCTTTTTTTTTTTTAAGATTTTATTCTTAAGCAATCTCTACACTCAACATGGGGCTTCAACTCACAAACCTGAGATCAAGAGTTGCACACTCCACTGACTGAGCCAGCCAAGAGCCCTAAATTTTCTTTTTCATTTAAGGTTAAGACCTTAACGTTAACATTAGCCTTTCCCACAGTATTTGATTTCTATCTTCAACATTATGTCAACATTTCTGGCTTCTACTGGGTAACGTTGCATGTGGATTTGCCTCACACAATACAGCAACCTTTAAAATCTAATTGACACGGGGTAATAGTACGCAAATCTAGACGTTCTCTTAGGTGTTCATTCTTTATTATGTGTGAATCTTCCTCAGAACATGTATGACAAAACACATATTCATATTTTCCAGGTCTGGGGGACATACTTTACAAATATCTGGCATTCCTTTTTTTTTTTTTTAAGATTTTATTTATTTATTTGAGAGAGAGGATGAGAGGAGAGAGAGAGCACATGAGAGGGGGGAGGGTCAGAGGGAGAAGCAGACTCCCTGCTGAGCAGGGAGCTCGATGTGGGACTCGATCCCGGGACTCCAGGATCATGACCTGAGCCGAAGGCAGTCGCTTAACCAACTGAGCCACCCAGGCGCCCTGGCATTCCTTCTTTATGCAAGCTTTCTTTTCCCTTCTGTGAACAATCCTTCTTCACCCCACATATCTTTAGATTGGATCTTATATAATGAGCTGAACACAATAAGGACCAGGCATTCAAAAATCATTAAATACCTCCTTCAAAGAAGAAACAGTTTCTTTGGGTAGAAGATGGGATTCCCCTACGAAGTAAAGAGTAGAAAGTGGAGGGTGTTTCAGAAATATCTGCAGTTTGGAATAGTCATATTCCTCCAACACAACCCGAAATGTCATGGTCCCAACTCTTTTCAGGTAAATGCTCTTTCATGTAAGGAAACTGGTGAAGAAAACAGACTTGGTGAGAAGGCAAGTAGCACAATGACTTTTTACCATCCTGACTCTACAGCTATACATACAGGCATTACCTTGGAGATACTGCAGGTCCATTCCACAGCACCACAATGAAGCAAATGTAGCAATAAACCGCGTCAAATGAATTTCTTTTGGTTTCTCAATGCATACAAAAGCTATGTAACAGTTACGTTTACACTACACTGTAGTCTATTAAGTGTGCAAAAGCGTTATGTCTAAAAAAAAAGCAATGTACACACCTTAATTAAGAATATTGCTAAAACATGCTGAGCTTTCAGCAAATCATAATCAGTGATCACAGATCAACATAACAAGTAATGAAAAGTGAGAAATATTGCCAGAATTAACTACAATGTGACACAGAGACATGAAGTAACAAATGCTGTTGGAAAAACAGCATTAACTCAATGCAGGGCTGCCACAAGCCTTCACTTTGGGGGGGAGGGGAGCATTACCTGCAAAGCACAATAAAATGACATGTGCCTGTACACACAACAGCAGCATCACTTACACGTACCCCTTAAACACGTACCAGGTAACTCAAATAAAAAGACAAGAGCACTAGAATTGTAGAGTGACAGTAACTAAATCTATCCTGGGTAGTCTATATAGAAGGAACTAATTAATAACTGCAGGAAAATGTTACCAGAAAACAAAAGCTCAGTTTGCTTTTTGGTACTTCAGGAGTCCATTAGAAATCTGAAATCTGGAATAAATATCTCAGCCTACTTTGATGATCATGCTGACTCCTTGGCAGGGCACCACAAATGATGATCCCATCATGACCACTGAGAGATTATCTTAATGAAAATCAAGATGTTCCAACTGGTGAGGACAGAACACATTCCAGCTTCACAAGCACATGGATTGTGCACTCTACCGATGTATATAACCAAAGAGGTAGTTGCCAGGCCCACTTACAAAGGGTACGAAATAGTAGAAAAGGTCTGTAGTACTGAAATGTATTCTTAATAAATCATATTATTCTAGTAACAAGTTGTATTTGTTAAAAACAATGTTGCTAAGTACAAGTCCCTGGGTAATGGCATGTATCTATCTAACTTACCTCTCATATGTGACATTCACAAGTAAAATGCCAAACTACACAAAACTCATATAGTACAAAGGAAGATAACATCTAAATATCCCTGTACGTCTTACAATGTATTTCTGGTTATCCCGATTGCATTTACTTACACAGTAAAAAGAAAAATCTTTATATTCTATTTTGGACATGCCTATCATTTATAATTGAGTGTTTTCTCCAACCCTTTCCTAACAATTTGGAACATCTGGGACACAATTTCCCTCACAATACTTTGTGAAGGAAATTATTTTCCAAATTAATCAAAATAACAGTGAGGGGAACCTTTCTACCGAGCGTTCTGTTACTCCATCTGACATAGTCATAGCTCTTCACTCACATAGTATTAATTTTTTAATGGAAGTTTGTCTTTCCTAGATCAAGAATTTCCCTAATTTATAGTTTCTCCAAGGTATGAGCTTCTGATACCTAAAGTATGTGTAATTTTGATAATTCTGCCATTCATTGGCTTTCCATTTTCTCATTAAAGTCCTGTTAAGAAAATCCTACTGTTTAATATGAATTTCAAAGGAGTGTGTTCTATATTCACTTGCTTTATGAAACTTCCTCTTTGCAAATTTTATCACAGTAAAAAAATAACTTTCCAACATTCACTTCATTGATATGGTTCCTTACCTGTACAAACTTTAAAAAAGGTATGACTTGATGCTGAAAACTTTCACAGGGTTCACTAAATTCATAACTTTCCTGTGTGCATTTACTGGGGGGCCGGGAGGGGGGGGGTATGTGTAAAAGGCAGCTTTCTGTGGGTGACCCTGCACATGCTGTGCATTTATAGGTTTCTATTCAGTATTAGTTGTCTGGTGTACAATGAGATGATCTCATTTATAGAGTTTCTCTTCTATAAGAATTTGCCAGTATTTCCTATGAATTGACTTTTGGAAGAAAGTTTCTTACATTTAATTCATCAAGATGTTTTTCATCTGCATGAGTTCTCTGATGCATAATGAGCTGTGACTTCCAACAAAAGGCTTTCCCACATTCAGTGCACTTACAGGGTTTCTCTCCTGTGTGAGTCCTCTGATGTGCACTGAGGATTGATTTCTGAGAGAAGGTTTTTCCACATTCATTGCATCCATAGGGTTTCTCCCCTGAATGAGTTCTCTGATGTACAATGAGCTGAGATTTCCTAATGAAAGCTTTCTCACATTCACTGCATTCATAGGGTTTCTCTCTTGTGTGCATTCTCTGATGTACAATGAGCCGTAATTTTCCACTGAAGGATTTCTCACATTGACTACATTTATAAGGGCTTTCCCCTGCATGAGTTCGCTCATGTACAATGAGTAGTGACTTCCAAATGAAGGCCTTCCCACATTTGTTACATTCATATGGTTTCTCTCCTGAATGAGTTCTCATGTGTATAATGAGATAGGACTTGCTACTAAAGGCTTTCCCACAGTCACTGCATCCATAAGGTTTTTCTCCAGCATGAGTTCTCTGATGAGAAATGAGCTGATCTTTCCTATTAAAGGCTTTTCCACACTCGCTGCATTCATAGGGATTTTCTCCTGTGTGAATTCTCTGATGTACAATGAGCTGTGAATTGAAACTGAAGGATTTCCCGCATTCATTGCATTCATGTGGTTTCTCTCCTGTGTGAGTTCTCATATGTATAATGAGGTATGACTTGCTCCTGAAGGCTTTGCCACATTCACTGCATCCATAGGGTTTCACTCCGGTGTGACTTCTCTGATGCACAATGAGCTGTGACTTCAAACTAAAGGCTTTTCCACATTGATTACATCCATAGGGTTTTACCCCAGTGTGAGCTCCCTGATGTACAATGAGCTGCGACTTGAAAGTAAAGGCTTTTCCACATTCACTACAACCATAGGGTTTCTCCCCTGTATGAGTTCTCTGATGAACAATAAGGTTTGACTTTGTATTAAAGGCTTTGCTACAGTCACTGCATTCAAAGGGTTTCTCTCCTGTATGAGTTCTTTGATGTATAATGAGCTGTGACTTCAAACCAAAAGTTTTCCCACAGTCGCTGCATTCATAGGGCTTCTCCCCAGCATGGGTTCTCTGGTGTGAAATGAGCTGGTATTTCCGACTGAAGGCTTTCCCACATTCATGGCATTCATATGGACTCTCGCCTGTGTGAATTCTCTGATGTATAATGAGTTGTGAATTAAAACTGAAGGCTTTCCCACAGTCACTGCATTCATGGAGTTTCTCTCCTGTGTGAGTTCTCATATGTATAATGAGGTATGACTTGCTCCTGAAGGCTTTGCCACATTCGCTGCATACGTAAGGTTTCATTCCTGTGTGACTTCTCTGATGCACAATGAGCTGTGACTTCAAACTGAAGGCTTTCCCACACTGAATGCACCCATAGGGCTTTACTCCTGTGTGAACCTCCTGATGTACAATGAGCTGCGACTTGAAAGTAAAGGCTTTTCCACATTCACTACAACCATAGGGTTTCTCCCCTGTATGGGTTCTCTGATGTACCATAAGATTTGATTTTGTATTAAAGGCCTTCTGACATTCACTACATTCAAAGGGTTTCTCTCCTGTGTGAATTCTTTGATGTATAATGAGCTGTGATTTCAAACCAAAAGCCTTACCACATTCATTACAACCATAGGGTTTCTGTCCTGAATGAGTTCTCTGGTGTGAAACGAGCTGGTCTTTCCTACTGAATACTTTTCCACATTCGCAGCATTCATAGGGATTCTCACCTGTGTGGATTCTCTGATGTATAACAAGTTGTGAATTGAAACTGAAGGATTTCCCACATTCACTGCATTCATGAAGTTTCTCTCCTGTGTGAGTTCTCTGATGGACAGTGAGGTAGGACTTGCTGCTGAAGTCTTTCCCACATCCCTTACATTTGTAGGGTTTCTCTTCTACATGAGTTCGTTGATGCACTGCAAGGTATGACTTACTGCTGAAGGTCTTCCCACAAAAACTGCATTCAAAAGGCTTTCCTCCTATATACATTTGTTGGCATATGAGTTGTGACTTCTTGTTGACAGTTTTTCCACATTCATTACTTTCACCATATTTTATTCCAATAACAGTTTGCTCATGTTTAGAATGGTGGAATGATTCCCTATATGCACGAAACTCTTTAGAATTCTTTCCAGCATAATTACTATTGAAATCTATATTATATTTAAAACTCATTCCACGTGTGATATATTTATGAAGCTTTTGTCTTGAAGAAACATAATTTGTAGTAAGAAGACATAGTTTTCCAAATGTAGGACATTCATAGCCTTTTGCCACACTTTCCAGCTTGCCTTGATTTTCCTGATGCCATTCCGTATGATCATCAATTTCCCAGACTTTTTCTAGCAATGAAAATAGTTATAAGTTAAAAATAACATGAACCTGGCATAGCATAAAATTACCTTAAAAATGCCATGTCAAGGGAGTATACTTTAAGTTTCATATATCGGATCTGAATATAAATAAAATCTCAAGTATAGATGTACCAAAACTCCTGGCCGAGGAGAACAAACGAAACTAAAAATAAAGATAGGCATAGAAAACTGACAATGATTAGAAATGGTTTTAAGTTTTAAAATGTTGGTAAAGAAAGCAAAATAGGCACAAGTAAAAATAAAAAATATATAAAGCAGTTGGAAGGGATCTCAGCATTATATTCTTTCAACAAATAATTACTGAATACATATTATGTGCCAATCACGGTGCTGAACTCAGGAGAAACTCAGAAAACATTGCAAATCAGTTTACAGTCCTCCTGGGAATGAAGTTCTACTGTATACCAAAATACATGAAAATAAACGCACAAGGAAAATCGGTGTGATCTTTCATAACACTGAGGACAAGTGGCAGGTAGTAAAGTTTCCAGAGAAACCAAAACTGCTTCGTATAAAGGATCAAAGTGAGAATGGCATCTAACTTTAATCTAATGACAGTAGCATCATTAGAGGACAAAATGCAGAGCATTCGGGAGTAAAGTATAAATATTTTCTGAGGCACAGGTCTCAAATTTTACGTTACATGCACTCCTTCACAGGAGGCTGCTCGAACAGGTGCTCCAACAAAACAAACTAAGAAAAAAGATGACACAGAATAAATATGGAAAGTAAAATCTGAAAGGGGACTCCAGGATAAAACACTAGTACAGCCAGGGTACGAGGTAAACTAGGATCATGCTGGAGCACGTTGAAGGACAAGGGAGTGACATCATCAGGAAGAGACAGACAGAATCACTAATGTGGCTGAATGTGGCACAGGAATATTTAGACACGTGAAGAAAAGTCTGAGGTTAACGATAAATACACTAATGATAAGAACAGAGAAACCTCAGCAGGCAAATAAAACAACTCAAAAGAAAAAAATGATGTATGAACAAAAATTAGCCATTGCATATTTGCATGATTCACCTGTGAATAGAAATTACATAGTCATAAAGATGTAAGAACTGAAGACTGATCTAATCCAAATGAAATAACTTTTAGTAGGATGACTGGGGTATAAGAAGAGACAGTGTGCATATCATGGGGAGTGTGGAAGAAGGGGGAGTGAAAGGGAATTAAATCATTACACTGTTATACTGAATAATCACCATTGGGGAAAAAATCAAGGTGCAGTAGAATAAGCTGGTTATTTAGAAATATGGAAGTGAATAACATAAAAAAGAGCTAAAAGGGATGAAAGTGGTTTTACCTGGGGGGAACAGAACACTGAGAGGGGGCAGGCTGAACAGAACGCTGCTGAAGATAAAAGCCAAAAGCCAAAATTAGAGAGTAGAGAGGGTGGGTGCCTGGGTGGCTCAGTCGTAACGTCTGCCTTCGGCTCAGGTCATGATCCCAGGGTCTTGGGAGCAAGCCCCGCATTGGGCTTCCTGCTCAGCAGGAAGCCAGCTTCTCCCTCTCCCACTCCCTCTGCTTGTGTTCCCTCTCTCGCTGTCTCTCTCTGTCAAAAAATAAATAAAATCTTAAAAAAAAAAAAAAAAAGAGGGCGCCTGGGTGGCTCAGATGGTTGAGCGTCTGCCTTCGGCTCAGGTCATGATCTCAGGGTCCTGAGATCGAGTCCCGCATCGGGCTCCCTGCTCCTTGGGAGCCTGCTTCTCCCTCTGCCTCTCTCTCTCTGTCTCTAATGAATAAATAAATAAAATCTTTAAAAAAAAGAAAAAGAAAGAAAGTAGAGAGGGAACAAGACATAGGACTCAGTCCTCAGGCACAACGGCAAGTATTTGGAGGCTGACCAGGAGAGCATGGTTGATCTAGATGTCCTGAAGTAATATGCTGACCAAGGCAACAAACAGGAAACAGCATTAAGAGAATATGGTAGCAAGTCAGGCTTAGAGATGGCAGATCAGAGGACCTTAATACCTCATTCCAGGTTTCCCTACCTCTCAAATCTGATCACTCTTCATTTTGCACAGTCTCCAAATTGTACTTTCCCAAGTTGGGGAGTTACCTCCTCCTGGATGCACTGAGAAATGAATGCTGGGAACTTCTGACTACCATGATGACTTGGGAGGGAGTGTTACTGGCTATTCCATGGTTCTAAACTCAGAAATGTCTCCATCAAGAAGAAAATAGGCCAGAGAGTAATTAACCTTTGCCTGGGAATCAGATTTGCTCATGTGTTTGGCTAATAGTCTTATCCCTATAGACTGAAATTTCAGAGTTCATGGACACTAAATCTGTCCTAATTCTCTACTGTGTAACCCTTCTATGGCTGGAACCGTAACCGTCCTACTTCCCCTGGTTAGCCACAGCTCTGACTCCTTGATTTCCTAGGAAACCTTAACACATTTTCTGCTGAGCATTCTCCTATGCAACAATAATGGCAGATAATGATATTATGGTTGGTATCTCAAGGGAAATTTCAAAGAATTCCAAAAATGAGGCAACAATACCAAAGCCAATGTATAGAAGACAGAACTTCCTAAGCTTAAATATTTAAACATGATTGAAGATGATTACTGGTTGCGGTTCTCAAGTAATCCCTGGAAACTCCACTTGCACCAACAGAATTCAGATTCTAAAGCTACAGAATAGCATTCTCCCAAACAACCATCTTGAGTGTAGCTACAGAAGACAATGGTAAAGGGAATTATGCTGAGAGAGCAGAACCAAGGGCTCACTAGGCCCCTGCCACAGCAAGAAGTCCTGGCGCAAACTGCCCAACCAGGGTGTCAATGCACTGCAAACCAGACTTCTATGTGGCATTCACTGTGGCTTCTCTCCCAAAATGGGGGCTCCCGTTGTACCTACGCTGCATGTGTCTCTACCACTCTGTACTTGTCTGCTTGGTTGTACATGAATAACTTAGCTTTAACTGTATGTTACCAGATGTTACCTGGGAACAAGGATCCAAGACTTCCATTAATACAGTACAAGAAGGAAAATGGGTGGTGAAATATTTTTGAAGATGGATGGATTGGAAGAAGAGTATGACTAGAAGCTGCCTACCCAAAGAGGTGGATGAAGGCAGACAGTGCTGCCTACCCCACAATCCTTCTTCCCTTTCCCTGACTGGCAAAGCCTGACTTTTCCCCCAAACCCATCCTTAAGGCCATGTGCTTCACTCAGGGAAATGGGGACCCATCACCACTGCTACCTCTACCCCACCCCCAGAAGGTGAAGCATCATTTATCAGAGCCAACAGTGGTGGGCCCACTTCTCTTGCCAGAGTCTTATTCAGACAGGGGTATGTGATAAAAACCTAGTCACTAAGCATGACAAGTTTGCTGAGACTTCCTGGAATAGGCTTTACCACCTGATAAAAAGAGCCATGGGGGAAAAGCAGTTTACTTGTTCTATTGGCCAGTGGTATATCTGCAGGTGTTGGCTGGAACTGTAATAGCCACCTGATGACCACGAGGGGAGTGCACCTGAGGAAAATGGCAGGGTAGAGATGGACCTTTGGTGATTTACTGAATCAATCACTTAGTCAACACTACAGCTGCCCCAATTCAGGACGTTTTGTGATGTGTGGTAATAAATAACTTCTGTTTCATAGGTTGATTTGGGATTAATCAGAAATTACAGCTGAAACAATTCTAATGATACAAAGACTAACTGGATTCATTCTGCCATGCCTGTGACCGATTAACCGTGTCAGGGAAACCTATCTGACAGCAATATCAAGATGAACAAAACAAGTAAGATGCATACATTTGGTTAATAAATAGAATGATCAAGAAATGAGATACTGGCCTTGTTTTGGGTGGAAACTGGGAATATGGGGGCCTTAAAAGACTTCTTTTTAGGGAACCAATATATTCACAGATTTCAGCAACACTAGTGAAGAAAATTGCATATAAAGGAGGTTTACGCTGACTCTCCAGTGCCAAGAGAAGGAGCTAGAAGCAGAGCAGAATTAATAAACAATCAGAAAGGTGAGAAGAAAGTATGATGTGGCTATGGAGCAATGCGACAAACAATTCCAGTTTCTGAAAATGAGACAAAGGAGTGGCACACGCAAGGAAGATGCCCAATGGACCAATCAAACTTGGTACCAAAGGCCAGATGAAAGAGGGATGGGCTGTCAATTACCAAAAGAGAAAAACAGCTTAAATCTTCAGAATAGATGTCTTTCAAAGGTTATAATATATAAGAAAAGTAGTGAATATGGAAAGTCCCTTTGGACTCAGAGGGAAGAACAAGAGAAGCCAGTAAAGCATGAAAAGAATAAGCACTTCATCGTGTAGTGTGTGAGTGGGTTCCATGGGGTGGCCCATGAAGAAGGGGGAGGGGAGGGCTCAAGAGAGGATGACTAATATCCAGGGATGTGGGAATGCACTTAGAAGGGACAGTGATGACTTCTCCTAATAGATTCCAAGGAGAAGGAAGGATGTTGGGACTATGGTTGTTGACTATAAGTGTAAGAGATTTTCAAAATATAATTTAAAAAAAAGAAAGAAGAAGGAAGAGTGAAAGTCACATCAAGAGAGATATAGAGAAAAAAGCCTGTCTAACTGCATAACAAAATGAGTCTACTCTCCTGGGAAAGTACACAGGAAACGGAGAATTCCAGAGAGGAAGAGATGAACTAAGACAGAATGGTTAGGAATGAGACAAAAAGTACAAACATGAGGTGTATGTCACATCAGAATTCACATCAATTCTGAATAAGGAAGAAAAGATCTAAGTATCCTCATCACTCACCTGGATGGCCTTGACTTGGGATTTGGGCCTGCATCATCCACAGTTCTTCTTGTTCCAACTTGAAGATGATATCGGGTTTGCTGTCTTGATACCCTGTGAATGGCAAATCATAACCAACCTGGACCAAAACTACCTTGAACTCTGAAGAAGGGGGAAGAGTCAGTTTAGAGGCAGCACAATAAAGCTGCCCTTCTGCCCCATGGAAAAGTGAAGACCATTTCCAACTAGCATATTCTGATGCCAAAGGGAGACTAAGAAAATCTGGCCTTGAAATATAAATCCAAGATCACTAAGAATGTTGCAAAAGCCACCCAGCGTTCAGCCACCAAGAAGGGGAAGCCTGGAGATGACACACAGTCCCTTCAGGGAGGGAGCTCCTACCCAGGGACACCAGGTTGCTGTAGTTCTCCAACGTCACAGTCCTGTACAGGTGCTTCTGAGTGGGATCCAGCAGCTGCCACTCTTCCCAGGTAAAGTCCACAAACACATCCACGAATGACAATGGCCCCTGAAAGAGCACATTCCTATTCAATCTCAAATTCTTTACTGAGTTTCTGGGAAACAACAAGCTGCCTAGGATGTCCATTGTTTATATTCTACTTTGTGAAAAAAGCAAAAAGTTATTGAAAACATTCCATCAATGTATATTCAATCAGTCAGCCTTTCACTCAACATATGAGAATACCAGGTGCCAGATACTCAGCAAGGTGCAGGTGATATAAACTTGAATGAAGGGACATCTGGGCAGCTTAGTCAGTTAAGCATCTGTCTCTTGATTTCGGCTCAGGTCATGATCTCAGGGTTCTGGGATCAAGCCCCATGTCGGGCTTCACACTCAGCGGGGAGTCTGCTTGAGGATTCTCTCTCCCCCTCTCCTTCTGCCCCTGCCCCTGCTCGTGCACTCTCTCTCAAATAAATAAAATAAATCCTTAAAAGAAAACTTGAACAAAACACAATCCTGTCCAAAAGAAGTGTTCACCACTGGGCGCCTGGGTGGCTCAGTTGGTTAAGCGACCGCCTTCGGCTCAGGTCATGATCCTGGAGTCCCGGGATCGAGTCCCACATCGGGCTCCCTGCTCAGCAGGGGGTCTGCTTCTCCCTCTGCCCTCTTCCCTCTCGTGCTCTCTGTCTCTCATTCTCTCTCTCTCAAATAAATAAATAAAATCTTTAAAAAAAAAAAAAAAAAAGAAGTGTTCACCACTACACAGAAAAGCAAAGTTAAACATCTGTGAATGCAACTGGGAGTCAAAGAAGCTAAGACAAAAGAACATACAGAGTACAAGAAGGGCACAAAGACGGAAGCAGCAATGCTATTCATTACAGATACATCTTTGACCGTTTAAACTATCCTACGAACCATGTGCACAGGGTAACCAAATGTCCCAGTGTACCCAGGACTAAAAGATTTCCCTAGACATGGGACCTTTGGTGCTGAAGGCAGGACAGCTATAGTCAAAAAGGAATGGTTGGTCATCCTACTTCTGCAACACTGCCTTACCTCCAGGTGCCAGGTATTCAAAAAGTGCAGGTGATATAAACAAGGATAAAAGACACTCCTGCCTGAGAGAAGCGTTTAGCATTGCAGAAGAAAGCAAAGTTTAAAACATGCAATTGCAACCGGAGGTTAAAGAAGCTAAGATGAACAAACATACAGAGTACAACAGGGGCACAAAGGAAGCTAGCAATGCCACTTGGAAGTGTCAGGCTGAATCTGTAAAAGGGTACTGCAGGGGCAGCCACTGTGAGAGAAGACATGTTAAAACTTATGTAGAATGAAAGCACAAAAGCTCTAAGTAGTAGCCAATTTGTGGGGCAAATGATCTGAATAAGAAGATACACAGATGGCAAATAATGATGCTCAACATCATATATTATTAAAGAATTGCAGATTAATAATAACACACCATCACACACTTATTAGAATGGCTAAGATTATAAAATAGTAATAACAACACCAAATTTCATGAAAGACGTGAATATAAACATCCAAGAAGCTCAACAGAATCCAACAAAGAGGGGCACCTGGGTGGCTCAGTTGGTTAAATGTCTGCCTTCAGCTCAGGTCATGATCCCAGGGTCCTGGGATCGAGCCCCACGTCGGGCTCCCAGCTCAGTGGGGAGCCTGCTTCTCCCCCTGCCTACTGCGCTCTCTCTCAAATAAGTAAATAAAATCTTTAAAAAAAAAAAAAAGAATCTAACAAAAATGAACTCAAAGAAATCTACACCAAGACCTATTATAATCAAATTTTCTACAGACAAAAACAAAGAGAGGATCTTGAAAGCATCAGAGAAACAATTTGTCACACACAAGGAATCCTCAGTAAGGTTATAAGCAGATTTCTCATCAGAATCTTTGGTGGACTGAAGGCAATGGACCCATATATTCAAAGAGCTAAAGGAAACAAAATTGTCGACCAAAAATCCTGTATCTGTCAAAACTGTCCTTCAAAAGTAGGAGGGGAAATTAAGACATTCCCAGAAAAACAAATGGGAGTTTATTACCACTAGACTTGCCTGAAAGAAATGCTCAAGGGAGTCTTGCAGGTGAAATAAAAGGACACTATAAAATAATTCAAAGTTGTATGAAGAAAAAAAGATCTTAATAAAGGTAGATACATGTACAATGATAAAAGGTAATACTACTTTAACTCTGGTTTCTAACTCCACATTTTATCTTCTACATAATTATAAGAGACTAATGCATTTAAAATAATTATTAGTTTGTGTTTAGGGACATGCACTGTACAAAGATGTAATTTTGTGACATCAATAACCAAAAGGGGTGGGGACAGAGCTGTAGAGGAGCAGAATCTTTGTATAGTAACAAAGTTAAGCTGGTATAATGTCAAATAAGAATGCTATAACTTTAGGAAGTTAAACATAATCCCTATGATAACCACAAAGAAAATAGCTATATAATTTACACAAAAGGAAATGAGAAAGGAATTTAGATATTTAACTACAGAAAAAGAAATTAAACACAAAAGAAGACAGTAATGTAGGGACTGAGGAACAAAAAAAGCTATAAGGTATATAGAATTCAAACAGAATGAAAGAAATAAGTCCCTCCTTATCAGTAATTACTTAAAGTGGAAATTGATTAAACTCTCTAATCAAATAGAGAGATTGGCAGAATGTCTTAAAAACCATGGCCCAACTATAAAATGTCTAAAAGAGACTCACTTTAGATCCAAAGATAAAAATAGATGGAAAGTGTAAGAATGGATAAAGATATTCCATCCAAATAGTAACCAAAAGACAGCAGGGAGGGTAATACCAGTATCAGACACAACAGACTTCAAATCAAAAAAGGTTATAAGAGGGGCGCCTGGGTGGCTGTCGTTAAGCGTCTGCCTTCAGCTCAGGTCATGATCCCAGGGTCTTGGGATCAAGCCCTGCATCGAGCTCCCTGCTCAGCAAAAAGCCTGCTTCTCCCTCTCCCACTCCTCCTGCTGTGTTCCCTCTCTTGCTGGGGCTCTGTCAAATAAATAAATAAAATCTTAAAGAAAAAAAAAGAAAAAAGGTTATGGGGGGGTGTATGGGTGGCTCAGTCGTTAAGCGTCTACCTTTGGCTTGGGTCATGGTCTCAGGGTCCTGGGATTGAGTCCCACATCGGGCTCCCTGCTCAGCGGAGAGCCTGCTTCTCCCTCTCCCTCTGCTGCTCCCTCTGCTTGTGCTCTCTCTGTCTGTCTCTCTCTCTCTGTGTCAAATAAATAAATAAAATCTTAAAAAAAAGTTTATAAGAGGGGGTGCCTGGGTGGCTCAGCTGGTTAAGCGTCTGCCTTCAGCTCAGGTCATGATCCTGGAGTCCCAGAATTAAGCCCTACATCAGGCTCTCTGCTCAGCAGGGAGTCTGCTTCTCCCTCTTCCCCTCACTCCATTCATGTTCTCTCTCTCACACTCTCTCAAATAAATAAAATCTTTAAAAAAAAAAAAAAAAGGTTATAAGAGACCAAAAGGAAAATTATATATTATTAAAGGTTCAATACCACAAGAAGATATAACAATTATAAAGTTATACATGTAATAACAGGTCACTGAATTAAATGAAGGAAAAACTGACATAATTGAAGGGAGAAAGTTTTATAATGACAATTGGAAATGTCAATATCCCACTCTCAATAATGAACAGAAGAACTAGACAGAAGATAAGTAAAAAAACAAAATACTTAAACAAAGCAACCATAACAGACGTATGCTAAATATTCTACCCAACAAGAGCATACATATACTTTTCAAGTACACATGGAACATTGTACAGGATAGACTATGTATTCGCCCACAAATTAAGTCCCAATAGATCTTAAAAGATGAAGATCAGGGCACCTATGTGGCTCAGTCGATTAAGCATCTGACTCTTGATTTTGGCTTACGTCACGATCTCAGGGTTGTGTGATTGAGCCCTGTGTTGGGTCCGTGCTGGGCATGGAGTCTGCTTAACGTTCTCTCTCCCACTTCCTCTGCCCCTCCCCTACCACTCACGTGTGCTCACTCTCTCTCTTAAAAAAAAAGATAAAGATCATAAAAAATATTTTCTCTGACCACACAGGATAAAGTTAGAAGTCAATAACAGAAGGAAAAAAACTGAAAATTCACAAATTCGGGGAAATTAAACAACACATCTTAACCAATGGATCAAAGAAGAAATCAAAAGGTAAATTAGTAAATACTTATACATGAATGAAAACAAAACACAACATACCAAAATTCACAGGATGCAACAAAAGCAGTGTTGAGGGGAAAATTTACTAGATGGATAAGTAGTACACTAGAGGAAGCAAAGGAATAGATCAATGATCCAGAGGACAGAGTAATGGAAATCAATCAAGCTGAAGAGAAGAGAGAAAAAAAGAATAATGAAAAATGAAAAAAGACTTAGGGAACTCAGCAACACCATCAAGACTAGTAACATTTGCATTATATGGACCCCAGAAGGAGAACAGAGAGAAACGGGGGCAGAAAATTTATTTGAAGAAATAACAGCTGAAAATTTCCTGAATCTAGAGAAAAGAACAGAAATCCAGATCCAGGAGGCACAGAGAGCCCCCAACAAAATCAACCCAAGGAGGTCCACACCAAGACACATAGTAATTAAAATGGCAAAAAAAGTACTGGTAAAGAGAGAATTTTAAAGCAGCAAGAGAAAAGAAAGCAGTTACATACAAGGGAAACCCATTAGGCTATATGCTGATTTTTCAGCAGAAACTTTATAGACCAGAAGAGAGTGCCATGATATATTCAAAGAGCTAAAAGAAAAAAACCAGCAGCCAAGACTACTCTATCCAGCAAGGCTGTCATTCAGAAAAGGAAAGATAGAGTTTTCCAAACAAAGGAATTCATGACCACTAGACCAGCCCTACAAGAAATATTAAAGGGGACACTCAGTGGAAAAGAAAGACCTAAGTAGGAGTAAGAAAAGTAGGAAGCACAAAAGCAGTAAAAATAAGTATCTCTATAAAAATCAGTCAAGAGACTCATAAAATAAAAGGATGTAAAGTATGACACCAC